GTCAGCTGTTTAAGCAGGGATTCCTAGACTTCCCTCACCCCAGACACTTCCTCCAGCTACTCTGGGAGGACCCTGAGGTGTTCCCAGGCCAGCCGAGAGACATAGTCCCTCCAGAGTGTCCTGGGTCTTCTCCGGGGTATCATCCCGGTGGGACATGCCCGGAACATCTCCCGAGGGAGGCGCCCAGGAGGCATCCAGAACAGATGCCTGAGCCACCTCAACTGGAGAAGTAACGGCTCTACTCCGAGCTCCTCCCATGTGACTGATCTCCTCACCCTATCTCTAAGGGAGCGCCCAGCTACCCTACAGAGGAAACTCATTTCGAGCGCTTGTATCCGTGATCTCGTCCTTTCAGTCATTACCCAGAGCTCATGACCATAGGTGAGAGTAGGAAGGAAGACTGAACAGTAAATCGAGAGCTTTGTCTTTCGACTCAGCTCCCTCTTCACCACAACGGTCCAATACAGCGACCGCATCACTGCAGACGCTGCACTGATCCGCCTGTCAATCTCACGCTCCATCCTCTCCTCACTCGTGAACAAGACCCCGAGATACTTGAACTCCTCCATTTCAGGCAGGGACTCTGCACCCACACGGAGAGGGCAAGCCACCTTTTTCAGGTTGAGAACCATGGCCTCGGACTTGGAAGAGCTGATCCTCGTCCCAGCCACTTTACACTCTTCTGCAAACTTCCCCAGTGCACATTGCAGGTCCTGGCCCACATGACAACATCATCTGCAAACAGCAGAGATGAGATCCTGTGGTCCCCAAACCGGACCCCCTCCAGCCCCTGACTGCGCCTAGAAATTCCGTCCATAAATTCAATGAACAGAACCGATGACAAAGGGCAGCCCTGGCGCAGTCCAACATGCACCAGGAACAGGCCTGACTTACTGTCCGCAAGGATATGCATACTTCTACTTTGAAATAACAATACTATAACTTGAGTGAAAGTTTTGTTTTGGTTTGTCAAAAATGACTGATAATTTTAGATAAACTTGTACTATGTATGTATTAAGTTGTTCACTGGAAATCTGAGCATTATTTCATTTTTCTCTTACTCCTTGTAGTAGTTCCTCTCAGTATTTTTTTTAAACTCTTAACTCTTAACTTTACTCTTACTTGAAAACAAATTGTCTACTCTACCCTCCTCTGCCTGACATATTCTTTCCCAAAATCCCCTGTTCTTTCTTTAACCTGCATCTGTGTTAGACTGTCTTACTTCAGTGCTTTTCTTTGAGCCAGTTTGCTCATTCTCCTCACATCCACTCTCACATTTACTCCTCTTGTCTGAAATGAGCTGGAAAAGTAACTGAGAAGCCCGACTGATGCCTAGAGCTATCCACAGATGTACACAAGCTCTCCATTACAAATGCCTAATGTTGCTACGGCGACACTGTCTCACCAGTCAGTCCCCATCCTCCACTGCTACTCCTGGGCGTAGTTCAAAATAGAGGACCACACAGTAAGAATACAGGGAAAGTTGTGTAAGCAGTAAAAATGTTTGAACTGAAATAATCAAATAGTCCAAAAACTATAGATCTCGCATTTTTTGTTGTGAGAATTTAAGAGGGGGTATTACACTTCTATTAACTGCTACACACATAACATATTTAGATCACCATCTTACATTTTATTGTTCTGAAAATGCTATATTCAACATTCAACATTTTATCCTTTCAGTTTAGTTTTTGATGCTTTTGATTCCCCCCTCCACTTGTTACCCTTGATGGTATGTATTATGCTAATGAAAATACAAGTCTGTGAAGTGTCAGTGTATTGTTTTGTATCATGCTTTTGTATATTTATGGAAAAGTGCCTTGGGTGACATAGGCTTGTTGGCTGAGTGTTGGGAAGAGATTATACTGCTATTTGAACTCATAAGGAGAGTTCAAATAGCATTAGTATCATTTGTTGTGTAAAACCTTTGTGTTACTTTCTATTTTATTTTTACATGATCCTACTATGCATCTTCTACTTATTGTTGTTGTTATTATGTGTAATATAATGGACAGAACTGTTAACAAAAGGCAATAATGCTTTACATTTACTCACACTCTTCTATGTGTATGTAGACATTATATCACAACTATAAGTTTATCTGTATTACATAAAAAATAATTGAATTAAAGCTACCATTCCTAATTCAGTTGACCCCAGCTGTATTCTCACATGTCACCAGTATATGCTACCTACATTACTGCAGTTTGATAGGGGAGGGGAACAGCTTTCACATCTGCCATCTACTGGTGAAAAAAACTGAATACACTTGAAGCTGGCAGCTTTAAAGAGCAGAAGGTTACAAGAATTCAACACATGCAACACCTTGTTTATAGGTTACTTGGCAGAACCAAACTGATGGTCTGGGAATGTAACTCCAAGCTGTTGCACTTTAAGGGCAGAGTGCTATCCATCAAAACACATTTTTGTTGTTGCCATTATACCACATAAAATTACTGTTTTGGATTAAATTAAGAAGAAAAATAGAAACATTAGAGAGATTTGCAAATATAGTCTTCCCCTAGAGTCTTAACATTTGGCTGTGGTAGTGTGTCTCATCATTAAAAGCATTTATGTAGAATAGGTCTGAACCAGAGCAGAAGTAGAATCTGTGAGTGACTCTTCGGTGATGTGCTGCACACAGGGCTGACATCTGTGGCTGGATTAAAGTGAAAGCGCCTCCTCCTCCATTCCCTCTGACTATTTTAATCTGCACCACAGCTGTGTAATCCCATTTAGGATTTCTGATGCATTTGTTTACTCTAAGGTCTTCAGTGAAAAAAAAGATCGGTCTGCAGAAGCCTGGCTAAACAGCAAAAACACATCCCTGACCACCAAACTGCAGCAGCTGGAATCTGCCAAAGATTGACAAGTTAGTCCATAAATTTGACATCATTTTGTGGTACAGACCAAGCAGGGCTAAAACCAAGTCTAATACAGAAGTTGCCAATACTGCTTGTAGATGGTTTACCAAGGGCAATAATGTGATCTAAAGTACTATGCAATAAATATGGAATGTAATCAGCAGTAGTAGAAGTTATAAAGAATGATTTCCTTTGTAGTAACATGACTACTACATTCCACATTCTGTTCTTTTGTAAAAGAAAAACAAATCTGTGGTTATAAAAATCATCTTTAGCAACTATTTTGATCAAACTCATTTTCCAACTGTCAGCCCACAACTTCATCAGGTTGGATTTTCTTTTGAGTCAATTTTGTCCTTTCATTCGCCTGTCATGTCTAAGCTGTTGTCTTCAGTGTGTCTCATTAACACAGAGAAATTGGTGTCTGCTTTTGTCACTTGTGTAGAAATCTGTGACATTATCTCTGAAGCACAGAGAGCACTGTCACAGACTGACAGAGACAGCAGATGTACAGTAAAGAAAGTCAGATCTTAGTTTAATGAGCTGCCACCCTCACAGCCCCTCTCCCCTTTTTCACCTCACTCCCCGCACTCTCTCCTGCTGTCCTCTGACTTCTGCTTCTACATCACACCAGTCAACTCCACTCCCCACTGAGCAGTGAGCCTGTGAACACCGCGATCACATGTGGGCATCTAACCTGTCAAAGGCATGTAATGCTAGTGCCCTTGGCTATAGTGGCCTACATTATGGGGAGTGTGCCATGGAGAGGGTCCACTAATGCACACTAATCCCTCCACACAATGACCCCAATCCCTTAAATCTGTCAATAGAGAGCTGATGCTCCAGATTACTGCCCAGGGTGCTGTGGTGACACCAAGAAGTCCACTCTCCTCTTCTGCTTTACAAGACTCTGCTGGTTGTATTGTATAATGCTCTGCTGGCCTGTAATATATGGAAGAATATTCACCTGAAACACATTAACACATTTTCTATAAAGGTCCGGCCATCAGTGCAGACGTCAACACTGCAGTCTTTTGGTCCCCATGACGACGATAGAAATATGGACTTTTGAATTGTGTGTCCTGTATGATGCAGCAGCCTGCAATCAAAGCTGCTGGGCAATGATGCATCCCAGAGACAGCCTTGAAAAGTGCTTATCTCACAGCAGCTTTGTTTACTCTTTCTATCGTTGCAGGACAGATAAATTGAGTGCAATGGCTCTGGACGCACACAAAAAAGCCAGGCAGTGGGAACAGAATTTAGGAGGGAGTTATTAAAATGGCTTTTATCAATCCTATCAGTCCAGCGTGTGTATTGCGCAGTGAGGATCACAGCTCCAGAGGTGCGGGCCATTAGACGATCTGGACCTGTGTGAACTGGGGACACGGTTTTTGCAGCTGCTCCAAGACTGTCATTTTGAGCAGTGTTCTGATGCTCAGCAAAGAAACAGGCAGAAAAAGAAAAAAAAAAAAAAAAGAGGGAAAGGGAGATAGAGAAAGGGAGACAAATGGGCTCAGACTTATCATATGCAAGCTGTGAAATTGATAAAATATGTTTTCCTTGGAGGACACTGGCACAAGGCACAAAATGAGAATTTCTCTCTCTTGCCTGTCTTTTCCATGTCTCCTAGTTCTGGTTATTTTGAGCAGATAGAAAAGACGCTGCAGCAGCACGTCCCGATATTGGAGAGCACATCAAATATGTCTCTGTCAGAATGACATTTTAGTGTATTATGACATCAGGCCCAAATCACATTCAGCGGTGATTAAACATAATTTAATCTCAATGATTCATGGGCTTGAGCCTTTAAGCCAAACCATTCCCTCTGTGTTTGTCATGCAGCCTATTCTTTTTTCAAAAGGCTCAGAAAACAAAGCGTAACAAAAGCTTAATATCCACTGTCTCCACTGTACCCATTAGGTTTTTATTGATAGGCCGGTGTAGGAAATACATCACAGTTTGGTTAAAAGTAGAGGTGTTTTACATAGAAAAGGCATCATAGTTTCTCATTTACACATACAAATCTGTCACTGTGAAATTTGCATTCCTGTTTTGGGAGACCAACAATAGACAATCTGGAGTAGCAGGCTCCCCTGGAGAGGAGGAAGTCCAGGGTAACTTTGTTAAGAAATTCAAAAAAATGTCCATTTTAAAGTCTGCACTGACTATATTTGCATAACACGCACTTGATTTGAATAAATCCAGCCCAGAATATGGTAAAACTGTTGCCAGTAACTTAATAAACGCTGCATATTGTCTGACAAATTGCACACACTCTTCAGGTATTCTCCGGAGGACTCAAATATTAAAACAAGAAAAGCTGGAAAGAAAACATAGAATAATTTACAAGAAATCACCCTGCTTTACTACATTCACCCTGACAAGCAGAAATACATCTGTAGTTTGAGGAAACAAGTCATAGTGTACAAAAGTCAAAGAAGATCTAAAATCATGTGTAATAAGTCAGACAGAGAATAACACAGTATAAATATATGACTATTCACAATATTGTCATATCTATATTATTGTCATAGCACATAAAAAATCTTCACATAAAAATGTTTGGCTCTCAGACATTTGAAGCTGCTGTCACTCTAATATTATATTATATATTTCTTCCCCTCTGTAATTAAATCTCATTACAGTGATTATTTACACATTCTATTCAAACATCTATTCATACAGTCTCTGTCATTAAATGCATTAGCCAGAAGCCATTTTCTTTCATTTACAAAAAACATCTTGGAGACAAGCTCAGTTTTCTCCCAGTCTCTCAAACACATTTTCCAGTCCCAGTCCATTCACTGGGGTTCTCCCACGGGTGTCACCACAGGCCAGGGCATGTCAGGGAGGGGTGCCTGAGGTTCTGGAGGGGGTGGGGGTGGCGACACCTGTTGGTTAGCCCAATTTAGATCTACACCATTCTTCTTCAGGGCAGCTAAGTGCTTAATGTCCAGCGTGGTGAAGGTGGTAAACTGGACCTGGTTTCTCTTACTGGTTGGTGAGTGTAGTGGCTCAGTACGGTGTGGTCTGGCGAGCAGCGTGGCTGAGCGGTTAGCCATAGGGTCAAGGGGCTTGCATGGTAACTGCTGCTGGGAGCTTGTCCGACACCTTCCCAGAGTGGCGGTCCTCTCTGGCATTGCAGGTGCAGCCACTGTTGGTATGCCATTTTCCATGTTGTGGTGATGTCCCATCGAGTCAACTGAATGGCGTGACTCTAGAGGGCGCTCTCTCTTCAGTGTACCAGGGGGAGCTGGAGTACCTGGCGGAGGTGGGTTGCGATGCTGGTTGTTGCCACTCCCCAGCCACACCCAGTCGTGCTTGTGATCTTTAGGGTCACCCGGGTGAGGGGGCGGAGCCTGTATGGGTGTCTTCTGATTACGAAAGCATAAGGTATATGAAGCACAGTTGAGAAGGAAAGCTAAAATGGCCACACACGATACTCCAACCAGCGCATACATGCCTATTTCTATGTCGGACATGGAGCGGAATGTCCTTATCAGGTCACTCTCAATAAAAGTAGGTGTTTTGGATCGGGGTGGGTCCTTCTTAGGGGTTATCTCAGCTTTAGGTATGTCCTTGTTGGCAGGTAAATCAGACTTCTCAACCATATTGCCAAAACTTTTGCCTTCTTCTTTCACTGTTACCGCTGCTGTTGTGGTGGTGGGTTTAGTGATACTCTGTGGTGTATTGAGTATGGGGCTAATTGTTGTGACTGTGGTGGCTGCAGCATATGTAGTGGCTCTGGTGGCCCTGCTGGTGCTCCCAATCCATACAACATGTGGTAGCACAGATCTGGTGGATAGAATGGTGGAAGTGGTTGTTTCCGCAGCAGTGGTTGGATCAGTTACTGTGCTTTGAAACAAGCGTTTATCGCCATCTGTTACAGCACGCTGGGATGTTTTAATCTCACCCACCACTTCTGATGGGGAACCTTTAACTCCGTCTGTGGCAATCCCTATCTCATCTTCATCTACAGATATGCTATTACTCTGAAAGTTAATCTGGAGCAGACCAGTGCCCACCACCAGTTTGCTCTTCCTCTTAGATTTCTGACAGTCCTCACAGATCCTCAGCTCCACGCGCACCAGCGCGCCTTGGCCCTCCCCTTGACTTTGAGCCAGTACAAACGTGTGTTGTGGGGTGCGGCGTACGGTGGCCACTCTGTCGTCTGGAGTGCTCACGCTCAGGGAGTAGAGAGTGCGCTCAAATAGGTCCAAAGGAACAACCGCCCCATCGCTGAAATGGACCCAGCAGGTGACCACTGCTTCCTGGAACAAAAATACAAAGAAAATAGAAATCATATCAAATGTTTTTGTAGAAAAATGAAGCAATAAAGCTGAAATTCTTCAGTCATGGTCTCAACAACAGCAACACAGATACCCTTCTGTTTGCTTTCTTTGGAAAAATATTACATTTGATCAATTTGCTATCAATTTCAAGTTTTAAGCTTTATTTTCACTAAATCAGTCTGGATGTAACTTTGAAAGTGCCTCTATTTTGCAATGCAAGAGATATTTGCCAAATTATCAGAATCTGTTAAAAGCATTTCCCCATAAAGGTCTAGGGCTTAACTGTAAAAAAAAATAAAATAAAATAAAATAAAAAACACAACAAACAAAACAAAAAGAAACAAAAAACTAAAAAGAAAAAATATGTATGAGAAGCTCTTTCACTCTGCCTACGGTCCTATTTTTTGCTTATTCATGGAAATGCAATTCTTATTACAATACCCCCATTCAGTAAATAAACATTTTTCTTTAACAGAAGTAAAAAACATCTTCTGTTAAGAAAAACAAGTCAATGCGCAGCAAAAATCATTAGCTCACTTCCCTTTTTTCAATGATAGCCCAATAAGTCTTAATAACACAAAATGAATGCTAATATCTTTATGATTACACTCTGTGGGATGCAGCCTGGATCATAATTCTGCAAAATCACTGCCGGGAAAGTAATTTAGGCGAAGTGGATAAAGGGAGTTTAATACAGCAAATTAACAAAAAGACATGGGTTGTGCCAGGAGCTGAATTAGCCAGTCCAATTACATTAATACACTACGACCCACTTCCTGTTTCTAATGTAAGCCACTGGGCTAACTCCCATAACCCATATTTGCTTTGAAAACATTCCCAGTAGCCCTGAGCAGTACATTAACAGCTTGCCATGGCAGACAGAATCGGCCAGTCATCAGTGATGGCATAGCTCTAATAGTTTCTTATTGACAGTGACAGAGCAACCACAATGAGAGAGAGTAGTGTAGTAAGTGAGCTGTCCTCCCAGACTGGACTAATTGCTGGTCGGCACTGTAGCAGAAGAATTGGAGTGTAAATGGGCAGCCTGCCATTGCTAAGAGTGCGAGGGAGCTTTTAAAATGATCACGCTTGTAGCCCGTATGCCTCTGCCTCGCTCTCTTACTCAGCAGGGGGCCACTGTGGGAGTTTCAAATACAATAGAAACCCAACACATTGCGCTCCTGAGGTCACTGTTGCATGCATTTTCTCTGCGGTGACAAGTTCATTTACATTTAGGTCTTATTCAAACTTGCAGTGCTATTGGTGTGAACAGTTGGGTTATGAAGATGTGTTAGCATGCTTAGAGGCAGTGGTGGAAAAAGTAAAGGCTTCTGTTATTTAAAGGGCCCATATTATGCTTTTTTGGATCTATGTGGATTCTATAATGTTGTTTCCTCATCACAAACATTCCTACAGATGTAATACAGAAATCCATCATATTTGTGCTGAGTTCTTCTCTCAAAACTCTCTGTTCAACCTTGTGATGTCTTGTGGTAATACAGGAAGTGCTTCAACTTGCACTTGCTTGCTGCTTCAGGAAGTGCTTCACTGTGTTTTTAAACTCTACACACCTTCACTAGAATCATTTGAATAATTTCAGCCTTAGAATTGAACTAAAGGTAAAAGGTAGCCGTTAAATTAAAAATGACTGCTTCATGACAGTCACAGAACTCGGAGTAGAGCCACTGCCTCTCCACAGCGAGAGGAGCCAGCTGAGGTGGCTCGGGCCTCTGTTCCGGATGCCTCCTGGACGCCTCCCTCAGGAGGTGTTCTGGGCATGTCCCACAAGAAGGAGACCCTGGGGAAGACACACTGGAGACTGGAGGGACTACGTCCCTCAGCTGGCCTGGAAATTCCTCGGGGTCCCCCCCAGAGAAGCTGGAGGAAGTGTCTGGGATGAAGGAAGTCTGGGAGTCCCTGCTTAGACTGCTGCCCCCGTGACCTGGCTCCGGATAAGTGGAAGAAAATTAATGGATGGATGGATGAATGGATGGATGCTTCATGACATTACAAGTTGGAACAGAGCAATTAGAGCTTTGGAGATGTAGACAAGCTAATAATGCAGGATTACTCAAACATGTGAATGAAACAAAACACAAATCCAGGTCTGTTTTTGAGGAGGTAACAACATTATAACATGGCTTAAAGCTCACAAGAGTCAATTTTGCAAAATAAAGAACCTTTAAGAAAAAGTACATACATGTACAAAATACTCAAGTAAAATTATCACAGAGTAGAATCTAGTACCCTGGGTAATGATTTATTAAACCTTTGTTAATGAGTAGGTTGTTTCTAGTAGATGATTAATTAACGATTATTAAACATTTATGAATGCATTATACAGATGCCTTATTATAAAGTGGTAGTATAAAGTGTTAATGGACATTTTTATAGTTTTAGCAGACAGTTAGTTGTTGCTTACAGATAGTTATTGCTGCCAAAAAAATCAGTTTTTCTATCCAAACAACTGCTGCAGTAAGGAGTATTTTATGCGTGTAGTAGTGATTTACACGCATGATTCACACACAGAGAAACATTTTGCCAGAGGCTTGCTTGTTGGAACAGACAAAAGATTATTAATAGATGATCCAGACATGAATAAGTAATAAAAAAAGAAGTGTCAATGTACAGTGCAAATAATACTGAGCATTTAGGTGAAAATATCTAACAGGGATGAGAGTAAGGGTAGAAAACACTGGCATAATTTATAGTTAAAATTAAGTCAATTGAATATTTCTACACCTTTAATAAGATGGAATAAAAAGACATTGTGGGCTCTCAGGGTGTGAAAATTATATTGTTGCCCAAAGCATTGTTCTCTGGCACTATTCAGTTATTCATTATGATGTGTAACTGCTATTTTGCAACACCAAACAGAATCATGTCAGCTAACTTACTTACATAATAGATACAGATGTTCTTTACATAAAACGTAATTCTTGTTCACTTTTTCATAGCAAAAGACATGAGCTTATGTTACAAATGAAAGTATTAAAGTAAATTAAGTATTAAACAAGGACAAAAACACATTCAAAACTTAAAGGGCCCATATTAAGCTGTTTTCTGATCTATGTTATAATGCCGTTTCCTCGTCAAAATCATACCTCATATGGTAATGAAGGAAGTGCTCCACTGGGTTTTTAAACTCCATGCATTTTCAATAGAATCAGTTGGATAATTTCAGCCCTGGAATTGCCCATCTCTACTGATCTCTACAGTAAAAGATAGCTGTTAAGTTGAAAACTACCACTACATGACATCACAAGGTGGAACAGAGCATTTTGTGCTTTGAAGATGTAGACAGACTAATAATAAAGGATTACTGAAATAGGTGAATAAAACAAAACACAACAATAATATAACAACATTCTAACATGGCTTAAAGCTCACGAGAATCAATTTTACATAATATAGGTCCTTCAGTACTCTGTATCCAAGTAATATTTTTTACTTTCTTACTTTTATTCTTAGTTGTTGTGTTATTTTTACCTCAATTAGATTCAGGCGTTCTTCCCCGATTCCTAATTACAACCAGTGAACACAAACACATTTGATTCCTTTTAAGTTTCTGTTGTGCAGACACTCACCTGTTTGAGCTGCGTGATGACCTCCCGGGTAGTTGCCGTGGCGACTATTGCCCTGTTGCCTTCGGGGCTGAACTGCATAGACAGAGAGAGCCCTGACACCAGCTGTACCCCCAGCTCTGTCACACTGACTTTATCATCCACCACCCGAATGCTCCTCTCTGCCAGCACGGAAGAAGTGACTGGGGACACCACCTGCAACAAGCACAACATCACATGAAACTCCTGTTGGGACAGCATGTATGTCTATGAAGGAATGTTCAGCACTGAACATGGTGACACAACACACACATTGGCAAACATAGCCCAAGTTTTAAGATGGTCTGAACACAACACAAAATGAATTTGGAAACACGTTTTCAGGAGAATGAGATCAGAACAAGCGTTCATGGTCAGGTTAAGGTGTTTGATTTTCAATAAATAAGTGAGAGTGACTAACTGAAAAAACAGTTAAGCAATGCCTAGCTAGCTTCTGACTGTAATGTTATTTGAGAGTGACTTGTTTAACAGTGCAAAATCATCACACCTCTTGTAACTCCAGCTAAGTCAGAGTGTTATACTCAGACAGGGTTAAAATAAAGCTCAGATCAAAGTCTTCCCCCAGGAAATGTTAATGACATCAGGTCGAAGTATAAGTACACATATGGACATTTAACAGCATGGTGATTTTGGACTGACCATTACAGTGGTGGTGCCAACAGCCCGTCCTTGCACGATTGCACCATCAGACACTCTGGCGACCTCTGGATCTGCTACTTTCACAGAACTGCGCACAAGACTGGTCACATCCACCTGGAAGGCACATGCAAAGTGAACAGTTACAGATTTGTCTTAGATGCCTTAGCCTATATTTTTGGTCAGTACTACTGGGCGGAATTGTAAATTGCCTGTGAACATGGACATATGGATGTGAGGCAGCCACAAAATTCATAAATACAATAAAAATGCACACTCATTTATATAAAATGAATTAAATAAACAAAAACAGATACATCTTCACAATTCCAATCAAAACCAGAAATCCTGTAGTCAAATATATAGGAATTTAAAGAAAACCATGATCATATTTTGATTCTGATACTGAACTAGTAATTCAAGACAAAATTACTAGTTGTTTAATCTGTTAAATTTAATCTGGAGGGATTGGTGTTATAAGTAAAAGCTAAAAAGGAATTAAAATAACACAAATAAAACATATGATGCTTTATTAATGGCTATATATCACATTATTACTATTTTATCATTCATAAAAGTTAATATCATTAAGCTGTTCAAACTGGAGGAATGAAGATTTGATCAGAATTAAGAATTTCATAATAGTCATGGTGTCAATAATAATGAATAATTGTAAAATTGTGATGTTTTTCCTCACAAAAAATGATTAGATATTGTGACATCTCTACTTCTTACATAGTGCTTCTGTTCTGACCTGCCAGTCTGGACCCATCAAGTATTCCAGGGGCTCCTCTTGAGTCGAAGGTGGGGATTCAGAATCAGACTGAGCTATGAAAGGAGTGAGCACACGTATGGGAGAGTGCTGGTACTGCAGCATGCACCCTCTGCCCTTCCTCATCTCCTCCTCCTCCTCACTGTCCCAGTTTGACCTATGAGAAATCCACAAAACAAGACATTAATAAAAATATCTACCTTAAAAAACATTATGCTTATTTAAGGTACAATATTATGTAGTTATTGCTTTGCCTAGAATTTTCTTACAGTTCAGAATTAAACTGTCATACTTGTTAGCTCTCTACAGATCTGACCTATAACTTAGCCTGGTGGTGGCTCCTGCTCAGCTCCAAAAATATCAATCATAGAATCAGCTATGTAATTGTGATTACTACTGCAGCAGCTATTGCTGAACATTATGCACATACAAACTCAAAATGAACATAACAACAAAAGTAACTTCTTTGTTCATAATCAGTGAGTTGACCTTGGGTTCAGATGTATTGCAGTCCATTAATTAAAAACAGGTGTATTTCATGTAATCCCTGCTTTGACAACTGTTACCGAACACTGTACATGTTTAATAAAACCCAGAGACTTGTTTGTTGTGTGCGGTAAGGGGGTCAAAGCAGGCATGAGCAATCCTCCCATATTGTAGTGTTGATTATTTCATAATCACTTGTGCGCTGCCATGCATCGCGCAACAGGTGATTCAGACTGCGTCAAACAGAGACAGGTTCAGATAAAAATCATTATCATATTACAGACTATAGAGTCAGTTTAAGATCCTGATATACCATCTGAAGTCAACATTGTTCAAAAGAAAAAAATGTGATTAGGGATGAGCAATTTAGACAAATATTAATAACTTTTCGCTAATAATCACATGATAATGCATTAGAAATGTGCTACAGTGTGCATGCACATGTGCTGGCTGAGCGCAAATTGTGAATGGACCATAAAATGAACCACACAAGGACAGAGATATCACTTCATACCCTTGTTAGAGAGAATACTCTTGTTATATATCTCCATCAATAGCTGTACTATCCATTTTTCATTATATCTCCCACCTCTACAATTGAGATTTCTTAATATTGGACTTGGTTTTGACATGATCTCAAGATTTCAAACTATATACTATTTTGATACATGAACAAAACTCCACTTTTGATCTAGTCCTACAGTATATCCTAAATCATTACCCATCCATTACTTCTGATAAAGACCATTCTAACTATTTATATAATTTCTCCAATATACCCACTGAGTATCTAGATTTGATACTGCTTTAAATTGCAATTAGTTTGTTTCTTTTAACAACTCTTCATTTGGATATAAAATATGTGGATATAACACACCCTGGAAACAGTATGTGGGAAAAAAGAGGATGCAAATTGCTGCAGTGACCCCTAAAGCAAAGAGTCATAAGAAGATGTGTTTATACATATTTTTATCTAAGAGTAATTTTCAAAAAGCTCGATACCATGGTTACTTATCTGCTCATATTTCAGGAGCTTAATGGGTTGCTAAAATGCAAATTAATGTGAGAATATCGTTAGCCCTAATTAAACTCTGTGAGGGTTAATTCAAGTGTTTTGAACCCAGCTAAAACAATATCATGGGAAATTTCACTTTGTTGCACTCAACAAGCAACAATAGAGTGCTTCGATTAAGAGCAGTTGTTTCTTTGAAGTAAAACAATTACCACTAGTAACCTTACACATTCTTCACTCTTAATTTAAGACATACTGTAAGTTCTGGATGCCATTATCTGGTTGTGCCTGAATCACACTATTGGGTGTTATGGGAAATGAAAAGCCCAGTGACATTTTTTACCCCAGAGAAAAGCAACAGCTGTGGTTGTTAGTATTGAGTGAAAAGTAATGACTTGACTGTACGTATTGAGTGAGTCCAGGCTAACCTTTCTCTTCGGGGAGGGCAGTCCCTGCTTTGGCCTTTTCTGTTAAATCACAAAACACATTCACGACTGGCTGCATTCCCTGTTTGACACTGTGTCATGAAGAAACAACTGCAAGTGATAAAATTATTTCTACTGTGATACAATTGTTACATGCAGTTTTGAAAAATAATGGTATGTTTGGATTAGGTTTTAACATTTTTGTAACAGGCCAAGGAGAATATGTTTTTGGTGTTTAAAAAGCGACGAGTACAATTCTAAGAACTTCTGCAAAGTAAAAGTTGTCATAAGGTGATTATACCAGCATTTGAACAGCTGCATTGATTTGTATAGTTTGGCTTGTGGGCTTTGTTTTTGTACACATTTTGTTACATTTATATCTCTCACTATAAACTGTCCATGCATTTTCCACAAATCCAACTGAGCAGAATTGAGCTTGTGAACACAGAGAACTTCAAACTTTGCACATTTAAGCAAAACTTTCACAATCACAACAAGTGAAGTTTATAATTGGGTTTCAACAGAAGACAGTCCTCCTTTATCTCCAAGCTGGTGGGGCCTTACCTCCTGCTGCCCGTGGTGATGGGAACTCTCCAGCCCTTGATCTGACTCAGCTCTGGGTCGGCTATCTGAATGGTCATGGGCAAGCGCGGCATCCACACTCTCATCTCCAGCTGTGCGTTCAGGAAACCATAAGTGAAGTTGACCATCACTGAGCTCCTCCCCATCGTCTCTGTACCGTCCACATAGACATAGTCACAGCTCTCCGAGACCTAAAACAAAGACACAGCAGGAGGCGGATCAGGCCAAGCTCTGCAAACTTTGTTGTTGTTGTTGTTTTGGGAGCATTTTTGACAAAGAGTGCAAAAGTAAAAAATCACAAAGCAACTGATTGTGTTGAAAAGAGCCGGCCAGTATATTACAGTATTTTTTGTCTGACCAGAAAAGACAGCACTATTTTTATATACTAAACAAAAAATATATTTGGAGACCATGTTTTATCTTTCCAAGTTTGGATGGGCTTGACTGATGTGCAGGTTACCCAATAATAAAAAAAAAAGTATGTTTTGTTTGTGACAAACATGGTTGCTTAGTTATGAGTAAAAAAGAGGACTGAGAAAAAGCAACTTTTGCTGATTCAACCCACAAAGCACTAAAGGCTGTACAAAGCTGAGCTAAGAGAAGTCATAGATTTTGTTCTTTTAAAATATCCTCATATTTTTCAGATTTCTTTTCAGCTGTTAGTGAGATACATACTGCAAATTACTACAAATAGATTTATTATTATATAAAACTCAGAGAATTTGAATTTGAACAGGAATCGGGAGAGATGGGGTGCCAGGTTAGCAATATTATACCATACATAATGTGGGGAATACAGTATGTTTCTATGACACACAAAGGCAGGGTTTTAGGCTGATTGTGATTTCTGGCTGTAACAACCGCTCGATGATGGTTGGTCGAAGATAGAGCCAATGACACCTACAGACACAATAGGCCAGGGTCTAGAGATTTTAATGTGACACACAAACTTAAAGGTATTTACAAAAAAATTACGTGGGCAGTTGTGTTATTAGTCCAGCACTATATGCAGAACGACTTGCTAGACAAGCTCGGCTATATGCTTCTGAGATAAAGATGAGAATTTTACAAAAAAAACAAAAAAAAAAGAAAACATTTATACATGCATTTCAGCTTTTCTTGTGTAATTGCTATATTTGTGTTTATAGTCAAACTTAAGTACTTAATTTGTTGTGGGTGAAGAATATATTTGATGTCCCTGCTGCGCTCTACTGTAGGTGGGACCGTAGGAGCCCGTGCCATGGAGAGCAATGAGGTGAGGCACAGCAGTTGGTGTGTTTTATTTCAGATTGGAGGCCTATCTCCTCGGCTGCCTCACTTATCTTAACAAACCAGTGGCTCTACAGAGGTAATTGGAGAGCACTAGACTGGAGAATAGAGTGCTCTGGAGTGAGGGAGGCAGGAAGGGGGGCTGATCCGGGGAGAGGTGAGTAAAATCCGAAGGAGCCATGACTTCCAAAGCGAGCGGAAGGGAACCTTTGTGGAAATGCTGAAGAAGCTCACCACTCTGGCATCTGTGAATGACCACAGCTCTTATCCCCCAGACACCCTTCACTGAGTGACATTCTCAGACCAGCGGGCAAAGCGTGCAGCTGGACAGAGGCTGAGAACTAACAAGACTGGGTGAAGACTGGGTGAAACACCTGCTACATTTTAGTGTTTTTTTGTTTTTGTTTTTTTTCTTTCTGGGTGTTTCTGGTAGTTTGGTGCTTATTTTATTGACTACCCTGTGTCTAGACACCAAGATATTTTTGGGTTGTTGATTGCATGTTCTGAACTTTGAAAGTTTGAAGTCATATATGGATTTTAGTCAGCCTCCAAAAACTAGAATAGAACTTTGAAAATGCACGGTCAAATACTACAATTTTTAACTCAGTTTGGATATAAAGGAAAACTCTCTTTCTTTAGGCAATAGCAAGTCATTTTCAACATAAAATAATACTAGTTTCTTTAAAGGAAAAGCAAAATCGACTTTTCAGAGCTTTTAACTGTGATATATTTTTTCCCTACCCATTTACCCATCAAAGTTGACTGATTCATCCATTTCTGAGTAATTTTCCTCTCCTGTATTCAAGACGTTATTGCTCTGATAAAGCCATATTTTCATAGGCCTACTGTTCTGTACTAACTTTGCTCTCTAATTTTATTTTCTTAATCAGTTATACATGTAGGATTCAGCCATTTTGGCAGAAATGCTCTCTTGCATGATCTGCCACTTTCCAACATGTGATGTTTACAGCAATGTACCATAAAATGTAAAAACAATTCTAATAATACCTCAAAGGGCACAAATCTGGAAATCAACAGATTTGTTTCTTTTATTAATTCATTAAGCTTGTGTATATAGCAGACAAAAGCACAACGCCTTACAAATGCTGATAAAGCAATCAATTATCAATATCAACATTTCATTATAACCCCCTGCTTTTGCAACACTAAAAGTGATAAAAGTACTGTCCAATTAAAATCAAGACAATATAAAATCCATAATATAAAAAAAAAAAAAAAAAAAAGAATGAATGACTTTCCTGTCTATGGTGGAGGTGATGATAATATACAATAAGAGACCAAATTCTCACTCTTTATTTTATTTTATTTTGACTAGTGTAGTGAATATTCACATATGCACTTAACAAATGCACCAAAATTGCTTTAAAACCACTCTACAATCAACAAAACCAATCTTCCAGTTCTTTTCTTGACTCAAGCTGCTAAATGTCTGAAGATGAAATTTTTTGGCATTTGTAAAACACTTGGCCAAAATGTGTAGAGCGTGCCATAGCGCTAAGAGGGGTCAGTGCCCAAAACAAGCGCAAGGGGCAGATGTGACAAAAATAACTGGATCAAGCTGGCCTTAAACTGAAAACCATTGTAAAAATTCTAAGCCGCCACAAAAGAGACTGTCTTGGTTTTCTAATGATTAAATGGTATGGTTATTTTTTCTTCTGTACACTCTGTGACTTGTTCGTCTACTGCCCCACTAACATGGATCCATTACCCAGAGGTCAATGCAGCGTGCTTGTGGATATAGTGGTGAGATCAGCAGCACAGTCAGTAACGCCATATGGACTGCTTTTACCACAGCTATCCACTAGACACATTAAGTACGTCACGAGGTAAATATCTATCTATCTAGAAGGCTGAAATAGTGTGAATCTATCCTTGTGGACTTGTTGGTAATCCATTAGCATACAAGTACAATGCAGCCTGGCGACTTGCATCCATGCACAGTGTTGTTTACAGGGATAAAAGGCCATATTTTTAATGGGAAAAATAATTATAATTATTTAAGGGGAAGCCAATGTATTATAGATGAAAATTGCATATGATAATAATAATAATAAAACAAAGGTAAAAAAATAATAATAGAAAGGCAAAAATGCAACCAATTGGAACAACAAAAAAATCTAATCTGCATAATGAACTTTTTGTATTTTGTGATTTATGGTGAACTAACACAATAGGAACAAAAACTATAGAAACGGTAAGAATAGAAGGTGGACTCACTGTGCTGAAGAAATGGTAGATGCAGTCCATTGTGCCGAGGGAAAGGTCATTTTAGACAAACTTTGCAGACCAATGTATAAATCCCTTTATAATTACACATTTGAAGCATTCTTGTAGCTCATTGTTCTTCATCCAGAAGCGCAAAAGGATACAATAGTTCATAGCGGAGTTGTTTCCACAAGCACATTTATAATCATGGATCCCAATGCTACAATTACATCTGTCTAATGCCAAAACAGTGCACTGCGAGAACACCCTAAGTACTGTATTTCTGCAGACTGAGAAAGAGTTTTGTTTACAATGGGCTTTTCCCCTGACACCATAGAAGCTGTGCACTGAGCCAGACCAGCTCTAACTCACAGATAGTAGGCTAGGCAAAGCAACTTCTTTAAGTAAGTCTGACACAAAACGTAAGATATCCCCAAATAACTTCTTCTAACAAGCCCAGTGTAAAATATATCTATAATTTGCTTTCAGGTCAAAATGTCTTACATGTGTTCAGTAGATTGCAATCATATTTTAGAAAATGAAGAGATTTAAGAGGTATAGTGGGAAAAAAATAATACCCACAAACTTTTTGTTAGTTAGTCCATTAGTGTCACAATACTAAAATTTGAAACAGAAACAAGCTCAATACACGTTAGACTATATAATGTAATTTTCAACACTTAATACTAGATCATTTAAGATCATTCTAACAAAATTTAAAGAAAAGTTAAATCTTATTTATGCATTTTTTGCATTGATTCTTACTCAAGCCTCTAGTTTTGATACAAGCTTTAGTATGGATTTGTATCTTTTGATAACACTGCATACAAATGTATGTATGTACAAATATAATATATAATAATATATATTATATAATACAATCTCGATTTGATAATTTTCTGCCGAAGGAGAAGGTACCATATTTTCCGCACTATAGGGTGCTCTGGATTATAAGGCGCACTGTCACTGTCAATGAAACACAACAGTTAGACTCTGATGGTGCAATCACTGTAACCCTCAGCTTTTTTCAATTGTGGCGCGTAGGGAGGGTGCTGTATGCGACCGCTGGATTGTTGGCATGTTAGCAGTGACTCAGTTGTTCAGTTGTGGCTAGTCCGTGTGGAGTGATGAGTGTGGCTGTGGGTGTTTGTTGCTGCGCGGCCGCTGTCTGCTCCGTGCGTGTTTGCATGTGCTGAGGGTGGTGCGGCTTTGTAGTTTACTGAACTTGGACACCCGAGTAGATTCATGTATAGGGTGCTCTAGATTGCGGGGTGCGCAATTGTTTTGCGCAATTGTTTTTTGATGGGGTTGGAGGCTTAAGAGCACGCCCTATGGTGCGGAAAATACGGTAATATTTTGTGTTAATTTTAGTTTCACGTTGAGAGCATTTACATTAGATATAAAATCAAGGTCAAAACATCTACATTTTGACACTTTAACAGCCCTCCAGTTTGATTTGATCCATATATTTGCCAATGTAAAGTAGTCTTCCTGCCTTCTGTTTACCTTGAGCACGTCTGGCTGTGTGGATGTGCAGCTGGTATATTTGGTCACGTTGGTCACAGAGCCGTCAGCTTCCACAGCCAGAGTCTTCACAGGGATGGACACGTTTTTACCCGTCAGGACCGCAGTGTTTAAGATGTCAGCATTCTACACAAGGAGAAGAACAAAAAGCATCCAGGTAAGTACAGCTACAGCTTTATTTACTGTCACAATTGCACATTGGCTAGACAGAGGCCTTGCGCTTTAAAATTCTATTTTTTAAGAAGTCAAAAGTTTTAGTTCACCATTTTTGTCTATAGACTTAATTGCAGGCTGCTCGAGGAGGTTAGAAGTAACACATGAAAACCTTTTCAAAAGACCTTGACATGGAGCAGAAGACAAAAACAGGCTTTTGGCTTTTTGTCTGCATCACTATTGCATAAGGCTTTAACTGTAACCTTGGCACATCTTTGACTGGAATAAAAATGAGAATCATGTAAAAAGGATATTCAAATATGCATGTGATGACTACATTGATAACATCACAAAAAGGATAATTATGCAGTATACTTAGACTTGTACAGGACAGACACGATACTAGCTACTTAAAGTGTCTGAAAGTGGGAAGAACAGGGCAGACTTTTCATCTTTGGAACCGCTGACTTTTGAAAGTACCAAGTCTTCATATTTCATTTCTACTGCATTTGTGAAACATTGGTAATCTGTAAACTGTGTAATTAAAAACCTCAGAATAGTATTAGATGATCACAGTCACATCATCTGAAGATGTATTTGAAGATTGTAAAAAGAAACCACCATATTTAATGGCAATTGACTGTTTTGATAATCTATTTAAGCAATTACTATGTAAAGTACAAAGTTAAATTTTGAATAAACTGTGAATTTGTAGAACAAGCAAGACTGATGTGACCAAGCAGCAGAATTATTTTACATTTAGTTTCATAAAAAGAATAATCATTAATTTTCTAATTGTCAACACAATCCACAGATAAAGCAATGTGTTGTCTGCAAACATGGATAATAAAACAAAACTATTTATTCAAATGGGCTTGGTGCAAAAATAACATGGCTGACTATGTGGTGCAGGTGTGTGCTTCTCACATGCACAGACACACACCTGCGGCTCCGTCCCATTACGCATATGGGTCAGCATTTTGACTTAGTGTCCGAACATCATTACATTCATTTTGCATCTTGTACTTCACATCTGTTTTGGTGCTTAGCTGCTAAGAGCCCAGTCTTATCCTGTGCCTTGTCAACAAGCCTGATGTAGCTTTATTTAACTCAAGCTCTACTGTCAGCTAATAGCTTCTCCGACTTAAGTTCTCTGATAGCATCTTGAGCATAACATAAGTGATGCCAGGGAGTTTGTAAGAAACTTGGGGTGGTGGGTGCTTCTCTCGCCTGTTGCTTGTGGACTAAAGCCTCTGTCCACTCTGAGCGGGCAGATGTTTGAACTCTATCGGTCTGACAGCTGCTGACCGCAATTCCAAAAGGACATGCTCTAGTTCTGCCTGTGACACTGACCCAAACATAAGCCACTGGATCAGACCAGCACAATCAGAAAGCAATATCTGCTCTTGGCTGCTCTGCTAGTGTCCAACAGCGAGAAATCTTAACGTTTAATGGTGTGATCTAATCCGACCTCACAGATCAAGTTTAGCTCAAGTTTTTTTCCCTTCTTAGCAGTCTTATACAAGCACAGATATAGGAAATATTGTATTTACTCTCTGCATATTATTTTTGTCTATCATTAAATTTAGAAAGACCACAACCAGGAGGTCAGAAACACACAGTCCAGCATCTTGCCAAAAGGCCACAGCTGAGTAAACAACATGTTGCTCCACTTTGTAGTCATCATTTATCAAACCAATCGAAAGCAGTACTTTGCATTACTGCAGTTTTTAGTACCGCGTATTTTGGAGGATACAGTGCAGGTGTGTGTTTCTGCCTGGAATAAGCAACAACGCTTGCAACAATTTGACTGGAGGAAGGGAAACGGGCCAGCGCCTTTAAATCAGAACTCAACCAGTGTATCCAAACACAGACAAGTGTAATGTCCCAGGAGTGCGATGTTTGCTCCTCTAGGCTCTTGGATTATGAGGACTAATAAAGCATAAAATAACTCACTAAATCTCACCCCAGATTCCAATTTAGCTTTGATCATCTCCACTGAGTATAGTAGAGGGTTCAATATGGCATCCAAAATGTCCATTCTTGCCTCACACAGATTTATAAGTAGTATATTTTTGGGAATTTTAAGGACAGGAAGATGTAAACACAAAGCACTAAAAAAAATATAATGCACATGTATTACCCAATATCTTTATGCAAGATCCAGGTTACAGTACCAATTAACTTTGTAAAACAACCACTACCTGATCTGCTAATCTGAAGACCTGTTATTGTTAATTGCAGTCTTTTATGCTTATGGAATTGCGATTGCCTGCCTATGTGTGAGCACCCATTAAGCAAACTGTTTAATTCCTGCTGAAGCGGCTGTATGAGATGATAATGGAGTCACCTTGTTTATCTCAGGAGAGAATCATTAAGTGTGGCGCATAAACTTGTCGCTCACATCTGCGGCTGATGCCAATTTCATTAAGACTGAGTGAGGTACGGGAGCCCATGGCCTTGGCAGGCTGTATTTACTGCCCGCAGACACACCTTATGGCACGGCTCTGACCTGTCATGTATATACACCTAACTTTATGGGGCCATATAAAACACACATTTTTCTGCTATTTAGTATATAGTAACTGTTATTCAGAGGTAGGGCTGGGGAATTATTCAAAAATATATTCAGATGAAGGTCCAATTTATTATTGGATTGATAATTGCTAATCGACCATGCTACAGCGAGTTCTGTGACAGTGAAAGCATGGAGTTTGGAGTCGTTGTTAATTCTTCTTTGTTAAAAATGAAATGTAGGAACTATAAAATCGAATTGATTGATTGAGAAATTAATATGTTAATATGTTTTTTTGTCATTAGGAATAAGAACTTCGCTTAGCAACAAAGAAAAACATTTTTCTTCAACAGCAATACAAAAGTTTGATAATTTCACACCATCTTGCATTGGACAATAAGTCTTTATTCCTGCTATTTCTATTTCCAAAAACCCTCACAATAATAGATTTCAAAAGTCTTTACACAAATGCTTTTAGACAAATCTGGCTCAAAGAGTAAAATGGCAAACTTATTACTGCTATTGTAACAGCTCCCTCACTGGCCTTTCAACCATTTTGTACAAATTTTCTTGCCATGTTCATAATAGCTTGACCTGAAAAGTGTTTTGTGTGTGGTTTTCTTACCATGACCAGTGGAGCGAGGCCAATGTAGTCTCTCTGTGCCGTGTACATTCGCATCAGGCCTACATCTTTGACATTTCCTGGAATCTCCAAACGCCACGAGATTGTCTGACTTTCAATGTGCTCCGCAATATCACTAGGCACAAAGTCCAGCTGCAAAACCTCCAGAAGACCCCTGTGTGAAGATAAAAGATAAAAATGACCTATACTAAATACGTGTAGCTATTGTTCAGCAACAAAAATATGTAAATGAAAAGCCGCTGGTTGCTATAGAGAAATGCAATTATGAAAAGCTTATCAATTCTGCTTTTTTTTTTAACAGGAAGTCAGTGGTCCCATTTCTATAACTAAGCCATTTTAGATCAAATTAGCATTTTACAATGAATTAATTGTTAATTAATGATTTATAATGATTTATATTTAGAATAGGTCTCCTTTAAGTGTCGCTTTTAGGTATTGATTTCCAATAAATCCAGTAATAACAGTAGCTCTCAAACTTTTCACCAAAGAAAGGATTTGGCTTTCCGAGTACCTACAGATCTAAATCTCGTAGATGACAGGATTATTACAAGTCTAATCCGGGCTAAACCAGGCCTAAAAGTGGACTACATTATTTCCACTGTAGTGTCTAAACAAGATATTACCTACAAGAGGACAAAAAAGTATATAAAATGAAATTAAATCTAAATTAGGTAACAATTAGGTAATTAGGTAACAAACAGAGATAAGATATACATTGGAAAAATAATACTACGCTACTACTAAGGCATTTAGAGACTGGTCAATACCCAGAGACACCTTGTTACAATAATTGGTCCCTAAAGCTAATTGGTGGTTTGGCACTTGTAAATATGAAATAGCAACATGGACCCTTGTGAAAAGATTTATTAGTTTGGAGTTTGTTATTTTCTGGAATCTGTTGTCAGCCTTATTGACATTCATTTTGCACAACAGAAATTCTCACATCTCCCTTCAATCCAGCTATTCCCTTAGACACTTTTAGAGTTTGTGGCCGAATATCAAAAATAAAATATAGAAAGTAGCAAAGAAAGAGAGAAAGGGTTGAGGTAAGGTGTGCTCTCTCATGCATTTATTACAAAACGCATGTAAACAGCTGGAAAATAGATGCAGGGCCGTGAAAATAGAAAAATAGAAATTAATTCTGTGAAGCGCTGGGTAGCCGTCAAACAGCAAGTGAAGGAAACCCACAAGAGGACTCATTTCCAGCGGCGGATGTGAGAGGAAGGTGAGAATGTAAAAGTAAGATTAAGTGTGCTGGCAGAGAGACTAGGCCCAAGTATTCTGGTCAAAGGATTGTCAAAGAAATGCCATGTGATGTTATTTGATGGCACGGAGGGAGAGAAGGAAGATCTGCCAGTTGAACAGATCAAAGAGAGAAAGGAGCAGAATGAGAATGGAGCCGTGGCACTTTGAAGTAAAAAGTTTGCATATATACAGCAAACAATAAATGCGCATGGCTAAAATAATACGCTTTAGAAAGAGGGGCGCCGAATATGGAGAAATATATAGTAGCAAGGACAAACATAAACCTATATGGTATGAAAGCCAACACATCCGGGCTATTTACTAAACGGAATTCAAGGATAAATAGCTGGAATGGTGTGTACCGCGGTGAAAAAGGTGTAATGAACCTTGATATGAGGCTCTAGGTCACTAATGAAAGGGCTTTGAAAGAGAAATTGCATGTTTTTCATGAGTAAAAAGCAACGGGAAGTCATGAAACAAAAACACTGCTACAGGTTTATTTATTGGATCAACAAGTTGGATAATGACGGGCATTAGTGAGGTAGCATGACTTTACAGACAGGGTGCGGGAATCATTAGAACACTAAAAGAATAACATTGATTGGAGTTTTCATGAGGGTTCATGAGGTTCATTTAAATAGGATCACACGGGAATCATTAGAGAAGATTTTGGTGCAACGTGAGAAGTATTTCTTAATCATTTTGTACATGCACTTTACATGTTTCAAAATTACATAAAAGCAAAGTAACTCAGCCGAAGAGTTCCCCCTGCAGCTTCCTTATGAGAATACACTGTCAGGGAAGAGACTCAAAAGTGTTTTGTTTTTTTTTTCTCCCTTTTCTTCTCCCCTTTTCTCTTTTTTTATTGAAATGAGGGCGTATTATCACATACAAACATAAAGTTGTCAGGGTTTTCCAAGTGAATATTCTTCAGGTTGGGTCTGCCAATTTTGCAAGGGTGTTTTTTCCACCAGAGACAGCAGAGGGAAAGGATGGACGCTTCAAACACCCCAAAACCATCACAGAGACAAAGACATTTAATAAGGTAAACATTTTATTTGGTTCTGTTTTAATTTCTCTTTGAGCCTGGATTATGGCATCTCCAAAACTGCTAGTTCAAGTGGGTAATAATTGTGAGTGCCAAATCACAAAATTTAATGATGGAAATGTTCTTCTTTTTTTCTCCCAAAGATCTTTGTTTAAACTTTCTTGCAGATGCTTGAATTAGGTGCAAGCAAATATGAACCTCTAAACTCACAAAAAATTATATATTTCAGAACATTTACAGAGGTCTAAACAACACTATTGCTTTACACATAATAAGACCCCATGGAGAATTCTCTACATAGGACATTCTAATACCTAAATAACTGCAGTCTTTGTAATTCAATAGAAGCAACAATTCAAATTGACATTTTCATTGTAGGTAAATGCAATGCAGGAGATGTCCACAGACAGAGGGGGTTAATATGTCTGTTTTGTTTTTTGTTTTTTCCTGGAAATCCCAGTATTTTTAAACCATGAACATAGCATCACTTCAAAGCACTAGTTGAACCTTGTATATTCCTGTCTGTGTATCCTGCTGCGAGGCCCAGGTCACGGGACAAGACTTGGACTATCTGTGCCTCCTAATCTCCCTTCCTGGATGTGCGAGCGCTTAAGCCTGGATAACGTAGCAGTGATTATGGATGATTATAAATAAGTGGGTCGGACCACCGCTGTCTGCTGTGTCTGTGCTGACTCACACAGGTCGCTGGGCAGAGGTGCCTTTGTGCCTGAATGAAGCTGCAAACAATGCTGTCATCAGACAGAGATACAGTGGGCCGATTGGGTAGTTATATACATGTAAAATCAGTTGTCTATAATGTTTTCTATTATTGCTGGGGGGTATGGAGAAAAAATAAATAACTTTTTTCTCATATTGACTGATCTGGACTTGATTTTTTCATATCAAAAATAAAATGGCTTTCAGTATTCCATGAGCATAAACACTAAACACAAACCGAATCCTACCATAAACCAACAGTGCCATTTAGCACAAAAATAAATGGAATTTCATCTTTACTTTGCCGTGTTATCTACTCCTATAAAAGTTGAACACATTACAAATGGTTAAATTCACCTGTCGCTCACTCAGTACATTGCTGAGGCTGAACCACCTGAGCGTTTAGGAGTACAAAGCTACACTCAAGATTAAATCAGTGAACAATATGACAATTTTACCAATATAGAATATCATCATAGGAATGAGATCATGATTACATTTTTATCACCATGTTATCCTGCCATACTCCAAAGTCTGAACTTTGCTCTAAACTACACACGTTAACTAACAGAGGATTGAGTGTGGACCTCTCGAATAAAAAGACCCAAGCTGATCACTGACGATTTGATGTGACTGAGTCTCGGTCTTAATTCTTCTTGATTAAAATTTGAATATTGCTTAGCCCTATTTTGTATGCAGATTAAAAAGATGCATGGACAAGTAGTGACGTGGTTTTTAAAATTCCCTCTTTATCTCTGTTGCCACTTAAGCCAGTGAAGAGAGACTAGGAGCAAGAGTTGAAAATTAGCACTTGCTATAGTCTGCATGCATCGCATCAGCTGCAAGCTTTGTTTTGTAACTATGTCTGATTGCATTGTCCCTTCCAAATAAATATATTAATAAACAGATATACAGTGTATTTGATTTGGTGATATAATTTTCCTGGAGAAAGAAGCTCATTGTTAATTTGTAAACTTAAAAATCTGGACTTGTAAAGAGTTACAAGGACTATCAGGTCCTAGTCAGCTGTCATGCTTGAGAAGAAAAGCCATTATTGAATGGTTTTATTTCTTTTGTGCTGACACTGTCAATGGTGTAGTTTTAAAAATGTAGAAGGATTTTTGTGTTTGGTTGAATTAGGATGCAGTTCAGCCTTGTTAACAATATTATTAATACAATTTCCAAGACTGTCTAAACAATTACTATTATGATTGAAGATGTCTATGTAATCCCACAGTAGTCCAGGTAAGTTCCATTGCAAAAGACAATGTTATTCTGTCAACCAACCAATTTTTTTTAAAGAATGAATGCAATGGAGTGCGTGAGTGGCAAATTCACTCTTAAAAATGTTTGTCCAGTTGACAGAATTCAGTTTTCTTTTGTGATATTGTGAAAGAGTAAATAGCTTATTAGGAGGTTTTCTTTCCTCTTAAAAACAGGTGTATCTTTGCTCTAAACATTTGAACAATGCTTTGATTATAAGGTTCAAAGTTCATCCTATACATCCTTTACAATATATACAAACATAACTGCAGCATCAGATTTCCTATGAATAAAATATGGATAGATTTGCTCAGTAAATAAATGCAGCGTTGTTAAGTGCACTTGACCCGGAGGTACACTGCTATAATCGGAGACACATTAAACTGCCTTTTGTAATTTCCAAACTTCTAACTTTCCACTGTGATAAAATGTATTCGTTGCTGAATAATTGGGCAAGCAAAAGGATTTTCAAAACATTGCATCAAGCCCTGGGTGCAGATCATTGTTTATTCAGAAGGACTGATAACCTGTCAAAGCCCCTCTATCATTTCAAGGTAAGTCTAACAATGACTTCAAACAAAATGGAATTGTGTTGGAAATACCAAATAAATCAAGACAGGGAAGATGACACTCTAGATTTTGGGCATTAATTATAATTCATCTTCTTTCTCCTAAACCTGGGACTCTGGGGGCTGATGAATATTCTGTTGGAACACTCATACAGACAATCCTATACAGACAGTCTTCAAGTTTCTTTTATTCACCTTAAATTGACGACAATATGAGATTAAGATGTACTAGAACTAATTGTCAAGTCATTATACCATTTAATGCTCAGAAGTTAACTGGTGTAGTTTTTGTACATTCTGTACTTAATTTCCTTTATCACATTTTCTTTCTCATATTGATCAATTAGAGTTTAGATTCAGATTGCTAATTTGAATAATTGCCCAGTTTCTTACTCCCCAGTGTTCCTGTGCATCATTTATTCCAAGTGTCCAAAGGGAAAGCAAAGGAGAATGTGTTGCATAAAAAACAATTTTAAGCAAGGTGTCTAAAAAACAAAAAACAATACGCCCCTTTGAATAATCCAAACCTACCAACTGCTTGTAGAAATTTTGATCAAAAATAAAATAGCATCTAAGGTTGTCAGAAGTATTGAAAATCAGGATCTAAATGAAATTAAAATTTGTATCAAAAAGAAATACTAGTTGAGCAAGTATTGATATAATAAACAAAACACATAAACAGGACAGCATATTTACCTTTGATAAGTTTTTGACTGATGTTTATCAGAACTAGAATGAGACCATATGTTAACAAAGAAGGTACTACTGGAACATTTTGTATTGAAAATTGCATTCTATTGTCTACCATTATGGTATGAAACTTTATATTGTGTATATCGTGTATTGTGCCATTTGGAATTTTAGCATCGTGACAATAGCATCAAACAAAACTTTTTGAGCCTCAACTTCTTAAATAACACGTGCTGTCAACTGATCATAACTCCCTCTTATGATGGCAGTAAAACTGACTGATCTCTCTGAGGCAATAGCGGGCAATAAAAGCCCTCATGTGTAGAGCAGGAGCCCCCCCGCTGCTGCAGTACGTGGGCATTTGGCTGTTTGCTCACGTACACATCAGCACTGACCTCTTTGCAGTCACAGCCACTTTCCTCTGGCAGAAGACAGAGACGGTGTAGGGAGTGGCGCCCAGGCCCGGTTCTACCACGATGTCCCACAGAGCAGAGTCACTGGGGCGAGCCGCGCTGAAGGACAGGCCGCTCTTCACTGTCGCCCTGCAGTAGAGAGGCACGCACAGGGTTAGGCAGGAGCAAGAGGAGGAGCAGGGAGAGCACAGGGGGATGGGGGGGTAGAGGCTATCTGAGGTCATGCAAGTTTTTTGGGGTCAACATTTTTAAGGCTACAGTATATTATGTTGTCAAAATAGGCATGTATACATCTGATTGATAAAGGCAATAATTGCTAATGACCAAAATGATGAGCTTGTAGGTGTAGGAATAAGATAACTTCTACTGGAAGCTGGATTCAATTTTCCTAACATTTAGCACAAATTGTATGCTGGGAATACCAGGCAGCAGTGATCATTGTATCCTGGGCAAGACTGTTCAACTGCCTGGCATCCAGTATGTAAACTAGTTTTGAGAGCTAATGTGGGACAATGGATGGAAATTAGGCCACTGCTGTACATTCATGAATGTCCATGCAAACATTAACAATGTGTTGCAAGACTGAAGTCTATGTATATAATAATTTGATACTTCAAACAAAGCTGTATTGAAAGTGAGTGCACAAGAATATACAAAAACTTCACTTGCGTAAACATAGCAGTTTATATGTCCCTGAGCTTGTTTCTGTACTGATTTGTGTAATTTTGTTATGATTATAACATTGTTAAATCAAATACTAGCTTTAGTAGTCATGCTGGGGAAACAGCATGAATGAATTTTCTTCTTTCAATGAGGGTGCATATGAATGTGACACTTGTGCTGTGTAAGCTTATTAAACTAGAAAGTTATTATTTATTTCCTAATTTGTTCACTTTGTATCAGCACCTGCCTCAGCGATAATCTTAAATCAGATAGTTCAGCTTCTCCTTGAAAAAAACAATGCAACATCTAATATTTACCACATTGACTTGTGAACCAGCATCAGATAAAGATGCAAGTGGTTGACACATAACGCTAATGTCAAGGACTGCTAATATCAGATATGGGAAAACAATAGATCAAATTGTAGTGTCTGAGTAGTGAGTGAAAATAATAAATGTAGCCACTGACTTATGTCATGTCTATTTCCTACTATCACACTAAAATGCTAAATGTCAAACTTTATTTCAATAATAAGTTAAAGGGTTTGATATATTATTATGCAATCTTATAAGATTGGTATCTATCCTATACTAATACTACTACACAATCTCATAGGCTACTAGTTATGACTGGGGTCAAGATCATTCTAAAACTATTCAGGAAAGATTCAAATGTATCCATTCACTCAACACTCAGTGATGGTAAGCTACTACTGTAGTCACAGCTGCCCTGGGGTAGACTGATGAAAATGAGGCTGTCAATCTGCACCATCACACCTTCCGACCACAACCAACACGCACGCACACTCTACTTTCATACTAGGCAATGGGGGTGAAATGTCTTGCCTAAGGACACAATGACAGAGCACTGGTGCTCCACTGTGATACCTCATTTTCCAGGGGTCTCCCATTCAAATACTAAAAAGGCCCGGCCTTACTTAGCTTCTGAGATTTGATGGGATCAGGCTTTGACAAGCCGGTATGGCCACCGAAATTCCCATCCTGTGTCTGATATCAGCCTCTTAGAGATGAGATTGGGCACAACTACCTCAAGAAAAATACTGGGTCCATGAGAACAAAACAAGACAAGGATTTTACATAATTTATATTAAAAATGTGCAGTTCAATTCCCATTTTTGGTCTCATGATTTTTATTTATTTAATTTATTTAGTATCTACTGTCATTGCAGCACTGCATTTTGGAGCTACAGCTTCTCCAGACCTCACTAACACTTAACCTTTATTTTCTCCAAAATATAGACATAAAAGATCTCACAAAATAATTTTGCTATGTACACAATCTTGTGAGATCGTGTCCCATACCTAATAGCCATCATTACAACACTACCAACTTCTGTAACACTATTTCCATGTCTGTGTGTTTCCTAGAGTCCTCCCTGACACCCCCCATCAGAATGTACATATGCGCTTCATATGTTTCATGTTTGCTAATGCCGTCACAGGTTGCAGACATAGAGAGAATTAGCAGGCATGTTAAATTCCCTTCAGCCCTAGGGAGAATCAGTTAATCAGCGGGTTCATTCACGCACTCAGAATCACACACAGAGGATGAGAGAGGACAGGGAGCGTGCTTTTTATGAATAATGCAGATGAACTAGACGGCCTGTGAGGTCCCATGAACAGAGAAGCTTTGATTTTCCAACCAGTGAGCCTCTGTTGAGTTTTGACACGACACGAGAGCTTTCCACATTCAAAGTGTGTGGTTAAAGCAAAGTTTCAAGTCAGGTCAAATAGAACAAGCACTTTGAGATGAGGACTCTAGCGTATGTGATGGCTGTGGTCCTACTTCACAATCTGTACTGTTTATCCAATTGTATCAACCTGTAGCAATAAATGGTATACTGTAACTTAAGATTCACAAGAAAAATGTAACATATTACTGGCAAACTACTGTCCTTGGAAAATGCCATCTCATCTAGTTAAAAATGCATAAAAAATGATTTCAGCGGCCAAGGTAAAGATGCCAGACTTTTCTCTTGTAAAAGAGTACATTTATTTTATTTTGCAGCACTCCCAGTGTCGAAGTATTTTAGCAAATGCAAACCTGGATGCAAGAGTCTGATACATTACAAATTGGCTGGGCTAGGACAGTCACCCTTTTTGATGTGCAAATATACCTACTTCATCCTGTAAAAGTTTAAAACCAGACCCAGTTGCTGAGTGACTAACACTATTGCCTCTCAGCAAGAAGGTTCAGGGTTTGAATGTTTCTCCCCGTATCTGGGAGTGTTCCCTCCGGTTTCTCCTATCAACCCAAAACATGCACAATAGCCCTGTCTGACCAAGACCAGCTCAAGATCTGGAGATGGGTCCCTGGGCACCCACAATTCCTGACAGAAAAACCCTGTCAGCTGCATTGAAGTCAAATGTGGAGCACAAATTTCCTTATAGGGACAATAAAGTGTACCTCACCTTACTCCATTGCATATCTACAGTATGTCTACCAGAACGTGGCATTTGATTTTAAGAGGGATCTTTCAAGTTCAAAGGTAACTTAACTAGTTAAGTAACTAGTGAAACTATGAAAATTATACTTAAAAAGGGACTTGGGTCTTGCCAAACCATAAATAAATGAACAAGGAGCTAACACTTTTTTCTGGTGAAGATTCAAAAGAGGACAAGCCTTCTTTTGGCCGCAGTGTGAGTGATTTTACCTACCTCTCATCACTGTGAACTCCTGCAGATTTCTGTCCTATTTATGCCGGGAATAGTTTAAAAATTCAACAGGGGTGGTACACTCCCACTGGAATAAGGTCATGGATCAAAACAAGCGAGGATATGCCACAAAATGTCAGACAGGTTACAAGGATTTGTTCTTTGAGAGACTGGTGCAGGATAGAGATATCTATTAGAAAAAGCATGGGTCAGCGCACTAACAAATACTTGCAATATTGTTCGCCATACAGTCCAGTCCAAGGTACACATTTTATAGCCAATATTCGAGTCAAATGTGTGACCATATTGTATCTTCTATGTGTGTTTTGCATTACAGGGCTCCACTCAAGTAAAACATTCACCGTGGCTGAACGCATAGGAAATAATACATACACAAACAGGTTTCTCGAACTAGACGACTTGTAAACAATAAAACAATCTGTCTTGGTTTCGCTCCAGCAGCTCAGTGCATGTCTCCAGTCACAGAGCAGCATTTTAATAGCCAAGAGTAAAAGAAAAGGGGAAAAAAAACTATGAATACAGACAATATTGACTTGTGCAGAACGTGTAAATGAACGGACAGGAAAACACTGAACAGTAGTACAATAACAAGCTGATCAATATACAATGAAGGCCAAGGTCACAGCTGTCGGTCTGAATCAATGAGATTCCAGTCATTTATTTACTGTAGATAGAAATCAAGTAAATATTTGTTTAAAGCTACAATATGTAAGATCATCATTGGCTTGTATATCAAATATGTGCAATGTTGTGAAAGGTGATGTGTGAAGAATCAACAGAGGCACATTGGCTGCACTGTATTTGATGTCTTATATCACCGTCACTAGAGTGTACCAAATTATCGGTAAAATAAAATAAATTATATATCTTATGTTGACTGAACAATATCTGCTCATGGCAAAATTTAAGTGGAATAAACTTGCCATTATGGCAACTTATCTCAACATTTTAATATCCAGCTATGGAATATTTGCAAACCATTTATATTGGCATTGACAAGCAGGTGCGGATCACTCCACAAAAAAAAAAAAAATAAATTACATAGTGCACCTTTAAACACATGACCTTTAAACACCAAGGTTTTCTAATAATTTGAGGAGTATATCTATCTATCTATCTATCTATCTATCTATCTATCTATATCTATATATATATATATATATATATATATATATATATATATATATATATATATATATGTATGTATATGTATATATATATATATATCATACATATATATTATATTGTATTGTACATTATAAATACATTGGCAGATTAAAAAAAAAAAAAAACTCTTAATTTTCACAAATCAAACCAAAGTCTATGTATTAAGGAAAAGTTAAGGATTTGCTATGAAGCAAATTGCATGATCTGATATGCACTTGGATGATGTTTGAAATTCTTTAAATTCTCCATAAATAGATAAATAGATAAAAGAGCAATAACTCGCTTCAAGTGTTTTGTCTTTGTAAATGACAAAACCGAAGAGCCTGCATTTAGTAAGTAAGTAATTAAATTGAGCTGAAAAGCATAATTACTTTTCATAGTCAACCCTAAATGCTCATTTACAGTACATTTAATGGCATAGCTACTCAGATGTATTGAATATTTGTCATTATCACAAAAAGTAATCGACTTATGAGTACAATGTGAGTGCTTCCTTACAGAGGCAGTATTTCAACCCCCTTCCTGGATGAGTGACTCCAGATCTACAGACAGACCCAGGCTCCCGCAGAGAAACCTCATTTGAGCCAGTCCTGTCCCAGCTCTTTGTCTTTGTCACTCAAAGGCAGTGCTTGTGAGGTAGAAGACAGAGTGAATATTGACCTGTATAGAGCCACTTCACAGCACACCCTCCCAAAGCGTCCCACATCTGTGTTTAAAGACATCAAGGGTCCAAAAGCCAGCTCTCCTTTAATTACATTAACTAATCAGGCTAAAGTTTGGCTGAGCTGACAGGGCTTTTCTACAATTAACAATTATGGTGATTTACTCTGATAGCATTTCTAATTAGGCCTTTTCTTTTGCTGTCAGTTCTTTCTTTTTTAAAGAACATTCTTAAATGGAAGGAAAGGCTAACATTTTTTGTTATGAATTGGCTGAATCTTATGCTAGGATATAGATTTCAATGAAACAGAAAAACATTATATAGATCTGAAAAGTAATAAAATAATTCATGAAATATTTGAAATTAGAATAAATGTGAATTACTACAAATGTTCTGATGGTCTTGTCACATGGGCAGATATACCCATATAATCCAGGCTGAGATATACAGCACAGTAGGTTAAATTCCTGCTTGATTTTCAATCAGGAGCAGATTATCTGTCCTAACGCTGCTGAAGTGGACTCAATATTGGCCCAGTGAGCGAAGTAGAACAGGGATTTCTCCTTCCTAAGGTCTCAATCACTGCCAAGTGTCTCCCAGCCAGCTTGGACTAACGGCTGCAGCCGCTTGCCTGGTCTGGTCCAATCCAACAAAGCAGTGGGTCAAAAATACATGGGCTGGGTCCACTGGCCTGGTTAGATCATCTTAAGCAGTGGGAGATACACTCAGTAACCCTCAGCGAGGGGCATCTCAGGTGGAGCGCTTGTACCAAACATCAGTGTGCCATAGGGTCAAGTGTCTTTTTCTGCCTGGCATCTGGACAGTGTAGTTAGAATCATTTGAGTCTGTTTGTGGTGGTGTGTGTGCATGTGCTCATGATGGTAAACCTGACATTTCAGAAGAGCACTGGGATTTCCAGACAGGGCTATAGCTTTAACCTCTGATGGATTAATAAATGTATATGTCTGTGTCTTTCCATTTACTTGGATCCTGCTCCAGATTACCGTCAGATTTGTATGTTTGCAGCATATCACTAAAACGTTGGATTAGTGTGAAATTTGTCTAGCGTTTCAAACAAACGCATTAAGCCGAGTAAAGAGCATAAAAACAAGCCTTTTAATCTTTTGAAATATCATATTTTCTCATGAGTTTACGACATTGAACCAAACTTTTAAAAACACAGTGAAAAAGTGTGTCTTAATGTGGCATGGATGCATTTATATTAAGTTCAGCTTCACCCAAAGGAGCGAGGAGGATGTTAGTTATTTGTTTTGCAGCTCCATTAAATAGATGCATTATTTATGAAGCCAAATACCCAGAGAACCTTGTTCAAATGTTAGTTGGATGTTGAGATAGGGAAACCGGTGAATCATTTCCCAATTATTCCCTTGTTTATGGAAGACTGCTCTCTATAACTCCCAGACCAAGTGAGAAGTGGAGATAGACAGGTTATAATGTGGTGGTAATTTATGAAGCCAGAGGAGCCGCTAGAAGACACCAGTCATGTTGGCAATGGTGCATTTTACTACCAGGCCTTGATACCGAGGCCTATCACTATTCAAGTGCTTTAAGTAACCATTTAAATGCATGGGGCTTATCTTTCATGAAGATGCTCAAACATACTGTACATCACAATGATTCCACTTCAGAGTACGTGTCTGTGCCGTATGGTTCAAGGCAAATAAAGCTTGATGAGAGCCCTAAACACTTGTCTCCTGCGCACTCAGCAACACAACACACATGAATAATTATTGTGTTTCCACCAGAACAAAACAGAGCACTCAAATAAGATATGGTTAGAGAGAGGCTCTGGTGCTACAAGTGAGATATTATGGCAGGGACAAGATTTCTTCCTCCTGACAAGCTGACTAAAGCCACAAGCCACTTAGGGCCTGAGGTGGGCTGCAGACACATAGAGTAATAGATAAGCACTCAATCCCACATTCATTCACATGGGCTCGCTGTCACCTTGTACCCTCAGGCAAAACATGTAATGGTGACTTCACTGTCTTATTCTTGCTTCCACAATGAATTTTAGCTTCTTCTTATTAGAGAATTTGTAGGTAGTAAAAACCTATAATTGTGCATTTACAGAGTGGATGCATGCATAGAAAGACTTGCAACAGAACGAGAATCTATCTTTAAAACAGTATTAAGTCAAGAACAGCAACTCCAATGTTAGAGACATCTTGTAGGGTGAAAAAATTATTATATATAATAAAGCAGACTCTGGTATTGTCCATGCTATCTTTAATTCAAGTGAAAGTGCTATTTTAAATGTATGTAGATGCAGGCTAGATACTTTAATATTTACCAGACATATGACTATGGAAGAAATGTCCTACCTCGATCATCTGTTCCTTCTTTCAGGATATTCACACACTGTTTGCAATATAAATAAAATACTTGATCACCTTTCGGGCACAACCTCTCTTTCTTTCAACCACAGCTCTCTAAAACAGTGCCTGACATAAGTTGCACCACCAAATAAGTGTTAGTAAGTTGTCATTTGTAGAATTTCAAAGAACCCCAGATGGATAAAGATATTCCACCTTCAAATAAAAGATATGGCCAGTGCCTTCACTGTCATATTAGTGAGTGAAGAGGATAGTGTAATGTTGCAAAGGATGTGCTGTGACAAGGTTTTATAAGGTGAAGTGCATTAAAACTTTGACTTGGAACATAAACTTCTAAATTGTGCCTTGCATTTGACCACTGTGAGCCTTGCTGGGCTTGACTAAAGGGCTAATTTAATCTTTAACATGAGTAAACAGTGCACTTGAACATTTATATGAAAAGGTAAAATAATATTGCTGCTTGTCTGCTGGATAACAAATATAAAAAAGTCCAAAATGTTTCCTTTTACCTCAAATAACCCTGGTTATTGAACCTGCCTGTTTGTGTGCCTATAGTTTCTCCGCAGGAAACTAACCTTCATTAAGAAAAATACACTTTTGAATATACAGCATATAAGGATGCATCTTTAGAAAATTAATTGCATCCTACAATACAGTTTGAATAGGATTAACAAGGATTTCCTCCTAGGATTTAGCTATGATCTCATTCAAATTGATCGGCGGTTCCTGGTTTTCATTACAAACCACTTAACCAGTATGCGCTAGGGACCAGTGTATGATTTAACACCAAGGATGGCTTTACAGCTAAGTATTAAGTATTTAACAGCCAGGAGAGGTAAAAAAGTGCCATGGATATTAATATTTCACAATGTGTAGTTAACTGTGGCTGTGTGGCCTTCTTTACTCAGTGCTCTTATGGGGAATGCCCATTTTAAAATGAAGATTATGGTTTACCTCAGAGTAAAGTTCTCCAGTGTAGATATGCTGGCCAGGAAAATGTAAAATGTGGCAACATCCGTGGTTTTCAGTGGTTTGGATGAGGTCTGGATCACCACAGCTCCTCCCAGCCTCAGTCGCAGATAGGTTGGATTTCCTGGTGGTGTCCGGAGCAAGTTGACCTTCCCTATGCGCCTCATGGGTGTCCCAGAGCCCTGGGGAGCCCTGGCCCTGCCCACCCACAGTCTCTGCAGGCTGTCCTGAGGGGTGCACTGGCCTGTCAGCTCACTGCGGCTTTGGAAGTACACCTCTGCCTGGTTCCCCTGGAGCCCGCGCATGCCCTCGCTTCTCCCTGCCTCTCCACTGAAGCTGCCCGAGCGGCTGGAGGAGCTGAACCACACTGGTTCTGGCTTTAACTGAGCCACACAGAAGCCACCAGCAGACACCCAACATGCTCCACGGACTTCTCTGGTCTCCCAAAAGGCATAGGCGGTCACACAATGAGCCCCATCTTTGCTCTTAACTCCACTTCCTTCATTCCTGATGCCTTCTGCCACAGAAATGTCCCCCTGTGAGGACATGTGGAATAGGATCCTAACCACAGGTGAGGAGGAACGCACCTGACGAGTTAAGATGACTGGCTGGATCTTGTAACCATTGAGGAGCAGATCTGGAGTAATGGGGGCATCTACAGATAGTGGTCCATAGGAAGCATTGACTGTTGGCTGTAGGGGCCCGGCTCCGGAGCCAGAGATGAGAAAGCTCTGTGTCTGAGACTTGAGGCTGGAGTTAGCTGTTGTTTCAGGCCTGTCCTGCTGCACAAACACATGGTCCACGTGGCGCACTTGAAATCTGATGGACGGGTAAACTGGGGATGGAGTGTCATTTACTACCTCCTGGCCTGACACTGAAAGAGATAAAACAATAATTGATTACCAGTACATTTTGATACAAAGTACACTGTTAGTTGCTTTTATTTTTAAATATTTAATTGACAATTGGCAATTGTGTAAAAATCAAAGCGCAATCATAAAATAAAGTAGAATGTCATTAAAAGGCCATGTTGTTTTCATGCTGCGGAGGAATTACAGTGATTACAGGATAATTCATGATTAGGCCTGTATTATGATTCAGCTTGTCTTGTGATTATACCAAAACACTCAAGGCCGATTGCACAGTTTTAGATTAGAAAACATAAACCCGTATTTATTATAAACTGTGTTAATCAAACTAGCCAATGCGCATTACCAAACATATAATTTTTTGAATTTTGTGAATAAAAAAGTCTATTGGGATTATCCTCTGTTCCCTGCAGTACTTGATACTTATTTGTTCAACATTATGACCCTTTTTGGGTATAGTTATCTGATTTATTGGTGGCTCTATGCTCAGCACATTTGTGCAGAGTTTGCAGTGCAGGATACATTAATCTTACACCTAGTTTCTTAGAGAACAGGAAACTAATTATATTAGGCTTAGCAAACTACTGCAAAAAGCAGCACAATAATTGTTGATGCCATTTATAGGTAATAGAAGAAATGGGCTTAGCAGCTATATTAAACTAATGCCACTTAATGTGACTGATTTAGTGTCTTAACACCTGCTCAAGAGTATTTGACCCCAATGGCTGTAGAATTACAAGCTGTGTGAAACACTTGTATCAGTAAGTATGAATAACATTTGTTGATGCATATTTTAATGAGTAGATCTCTGGTGTTCTACCAGAGGTCACAGTTCTACTGGTCCTTCAGTAGAAATGATAAAACACTTCAATTGTACTTGATAATGATGGGCTGACAGAAGCAATTCTTTAGGGGCAAAAGACTCAACAGGAGAGCTTCTTACAACTAAAAATTGTTTTGAATCTTCTACTTGAACTTCATTCTCTTAAAATGAAAGTTACATCATGTAAAATACAAAAGCCGGAGTAGATGTTTAAGATATATTTGATTATATGCTGGAATCATAACTGCTTCATGAGTTACTTAGGCTTACATTAAATATCCAATTTGAATGTATCTGTCAAAGCTATACTATACTGCATCCAAGCTCCAGAAACAGGTCAGTTAAACAATATTATTATTATTATTATTATTATTATTATTATTAAATTATACTGACCTGTATGTTTGGAGGAAAATGAAGCATTTTGTACAACTTCTCGCCTCCCCTATTTTAACACATCAAATATCAATTTAAATGTTCAAAATATTAGTTAAGTAACTACTGCTATACCACCCACAAATTTGCAGGCTAAATTAATAGGTTCCTGTTTATTCAAATATGTCTACTCTAAAGCAATTTTAAACTACACAGTTGGCATGTTTTGAATGTTTGGAGGAATTAACAAAATGCATTTAAAAACATTTGAAAACATTTCATACATATGTTTTGTCGTTTGAACCTCAGACTGGCTGACATAACAAGCAGCACATCTGTGACTGGAGGAACAGATAAGGCTGTGGTACTGTGCTTCTTATGCATAGCCTCCAGGCCTAACACAAATCAAAGCCTTACCATCACCAGACATGGATTAAAGATGCCCTGGCACAGCTGGACCCTGACCAGGCATCTACATATAACACAATAGCTTACATACAATCTTATAGAGCAGTGTTTTGCATGATATCAGCCACAGTCGGACTGCTCAGAGCACAAGCACAGAGGTTCTGAGGCAGCTGGACTATCCTTGCTTCAGGGCGGGTTAATCCTACTATCTGACCATCGCACAGAAACATGCTATTCTAGACAACAGATGCTGGTGAACGCCAAAAATAGTACACTAAAACTATACAGAGATAAGCACAATATAAAAGTCAATGCCATTGTTTATAATGTGGAAACAGTAAATATTATTGATACCTTCCCTATCATTTCAGTAGGTTGGAAATTAATTTTCTTAAAGTGTCTGATTATAATAAATAAACAGTAAACATCCCACAGGCCCTATGCTCATGAAAATATGTATATACAAAATGTCAACGCAGATACCAATGAATCATCTCAACAGTTGCCTTGGTTTGAAGTTTGAACATTTTAATTTCATTATAATTTGGCATTGTTTCTTTACAGCATTTTATTTGTTTAAGATTTAAGGGTGCATTTTGTTATAGCATTGTATTTGTTTAGGATTTAAGGGTGCATTTTGTTATAGCATTGTATTTGTTTAGGATTTAAGGGTGCATTTAGGTGAATTAATAGGCAACAAAATCCACCTGAAGTAACATATATTAAGTGTCACCCAGGCTATCATAACTAAAAAAAAAATAAAAAAAAAACACGGCAGCACCACATTCCCTAAAATACAAATAGTCTAATTATTTAGGTCCATATTTTAGTGGCCTACTGCCAAATCTGTGCAATCAGTGCACCTCGTAGCCTGCAGTACTGTCAATACTATGATTGCCATCAAGGTCAAAGCATTTTACTAAAACACACAAAAGGAAAGAGACGTAGAGTTTTGGCAAGCCCATCCCTCAATAAATCAGGAAAATAATACAATCAGTACTTTATGAGTAGGCTATAACTTACCTTTGCTCACAGCTGCGAGGAGAATCCCGAGACCCAGGAGCAGAGGAGGATAAAAACCGCGCATCATTCCAGTGAAGTCGGAGAGAAGTTGCCGTCCACTTTACGCTGCGCTACAGTGTGCACCAAGGTGGAGATTTTGCAGACAGGTATGCGCTCGTTTCAAAAGAGGAGCACACCGAATACAAACCATTCCATTGTCCCGTGTCAGACAACGTTATCACATCTGACAGTGAGTACAAGCGAGATCAAATGAAAAAAAGTCTATTGATTGTCCCCCTGGCCCCGCAGCGCTTCCTATGGCGTGCTAGCCAGCTTTTATTCACACAAACTTGCTCCAATTTACAATCACGGCCTCTGCCTCCCTTTGCTTACATCGAAATGAAGAGATGTTTTTCTCCAGACAGAACGACCCGAGTTGGCACGGCGGGACAGCCACAGTCTCGAGTCTCGTTCCCTTGATGGCACTAAACATGTGGCGTCCGTCAGATTAAGCGCGACCACGTGGGTAATCTACGGTAAAGAAAGAGCTGCCTGCAGTAAATTAAATGCACACGAGGTCAAATGGATCAGTGCTGTCGCAACGAGATGTTTTAGTGCTGATTTAACAAATAGGCCTATAATTTTCCTGAGCTTTCCTTAAAAGGCTCATATTATGGTATTTTCTAATCTGTGCTATATGTTATAGCGACCTGGATTTATTTATTTTTTTGTTTGTTTCATTCACACACGTTTAACACACAAACCCTGCATATTTAGGCTTCTATCTATCATATCTATCTACAGATATGACCTGTAACTTATCTTGGTGGCATCTCCTGTTTGTCTCCATATAAATCTCCATGGAGACAGGTGGCAGACAATACCCCATAAAAGTTACATAGTGCACTTTTATCACTGCTAAATTTACTCAGATGAGATGACAGATGATAGGCAGATACAATGTTGTAGTAGCAGAGTGTACTAAAAAACCTTCCTTATTTGTAGTTTGCTGTCTCTATCACACATGTTGACTGCCTACTGACATAGTAACAAGTGCATTTTTTTTTTCTTTTTTTTCTTTTAAAAACAAATCTTTATTATTTCACACATACTTCATTTTCACTTTTAGGCGAGAGAGCTGTGCCAGATGTCAGCTGCATTGGAGCAGTGTGTAGGATGGCAGATGGAGGGAGCAGACTATTCATTAAACAGCTGCCCAGAAAAGATCATCAGGCTGCACCTCGGCATGGTAAAAGTTCACTCTGGAGAAGCTTTATTGACAGCTTGGTAACATTACTTTACATATATGTGCATCTGTGCTGTGTTTTACATTTGAGGTCAATGCATTTCAAATCCATTCAAGAATAACTAGACAATACTGTAGATACATAACTGCACTATTCCCAGCATATTGAAATATGTTCTTATGTTATGTTACTTATGATTGAGAATATATAAATTTGTCTTTGTTTTCCTGTTATTTTAGTTTTTGAGAAGTTCAAGCATCCCAATAATGCAGGGCATAGGGGTGTAACGATATCCAAGCCTCACGATACGATATCGTCAAGGTATGAACCTCACAGTACGATATTTATTGAGATATTGTGGGAAAGCTCACGATTAGGGATGTAACAATATCTAAATCTCTTAGTACGATATTTTTACGATATACATTTTATGGTACAATATTTATTGCGATATTTTGTGAAGACTAACAAAACTGTCACATGCTACTTTTTCCTCTTAAAATGCCTTGACAAGACTTAATCCAAAGAACTAAGATTTAAAAGTACTTAAAACAATTATTTCTTCTTGTAGTCTACACTGAAATGGAGCAAAGGATCATGGTCTATGGAGTTCCCTCTGTCTACTGCTGCACCATAACTCTTAATTTAAGCAAAGAGACTTGTGATTGTGATATTGTGATGGTCCACGATATTGTGAGAACTTTGACAATACGATATCACGATATTTCAGTTAGTGTTGCTTTCCTACTAGCTTGTCTTGAAAATATTATAACATACTGTTTGGTAATTCCTGATTCAAGCCTATTACATGTCGCTCAGATACTGGGTTAAGCTCTGGAAAGGTGTCCCCAGCTGAAAGGTGACCACAGCAACATCTAAATGCGATTTGTCTGTCAAGATTGCACATTTTAGTGTGGGCATCAACAAAAATTGAAAATATAAACTGCGTAAATAGCCTGTTTTAATTTGTTTCATTCATACATGTTTAACACACAAACTCAGCATATTTAGGCTGAGTTCTTCTCTCAAATTAAAACACTCCCCCTTGTGATGTCATGTGGTAATACAGGTGCTCCACTGTGTTTAAATTCCATGGCATACACCATCTCTAGAATCATTTGAATGATTTCAGCCCTGGAATTTCCAGTCTGTACTGAAACAAAGGTAAAAGGTAGCCGTTAACTTGAAAACTACCAGTTCATGACATCTCAAGGTGGAACAGAGCATTTTGAGCTTTGGAGATGTAGACTAATTATAAAATTGTTGCTCAAATGTGTTAATGAAACAAACCAGAACTCCAGGTATGTTTTTGATGATGATGGCAACAACATTCTAACATGGCGTCAAGCTCACAAGAGTCAATTTTTTGCAGCATAGGACCTTTAAAATTAAAAAGGCAATTCACTTTGTTGCGGAAGACATTATATAATTGCGACCGTTTAAATGGAACTTTATCTGAACCTCACTTTTTTTTGTAACTCCATCTGTTTTCTCCACATTTTGTCTTGGTCCTGTGATTATCCCTACGAACTATGGCAATGATCTCAATGACAACAAGAGATTCAGTCAATTGCCAGAAGCTATTCTAAGGTAGGTCAAACAAATCCTCTCTCAGCACTCCCTAAATACTGACCACCTAAAACAAATGTGCTTTAATGACTGAGAGTCCAACAAGAGTTAGCTCCACCCTGTTCTGTGCCCATGGGCTGTTTTATTACCACTGCCAAGGTGACAAGGTATTATGCACGCGGGCATCACCAGAGAATAAACACTTCCCCATGGCAGCACAGCCTAATGAAAATAAATAGGCTCCTTAGAGAAATATTTAGGCAGCTCTAAATGCCAATAAAACTTTCAAGGACTAATAGAATGTGGATTCACTCAGGGGACTAATCAGACTTTACTGTACAGCAGAGCTAGTGTTTACAGTGCTGCTTATTATTACATGTACTCCTCAGTCTTATGTGCTTCATTTTGGGTACTTTGCATTGTGTTTTTTTGGCCGCAGCTTTGCTTATTAGAGCCGACAGAGGCAGAGGCCACCAACTATTGAGTCTGGGAACCTGTCCAGATCGCGGTTGTTGTTCCAGACATGCAACCTGCTGCTGGCACCATTAGTCAAAGGGAGCAGACATGACAGAGAGGAAATGCTCTGAAATTACACCGTCACAAGCTCAAGAGCTTAGAAACAGGTTAAGGCCTAAATCAGTGTAATGATTTATTAATTCAATTTATAGAGGAAGTGGTTATTCGATGTGCGGCAAACAGATTAATAGCCGGAGGAAATACTAATATGAGCCAAGCCTAAGTAAAGAATCCACACAGCAGATAATATATGCTGTATGCAGCCATTACTTATGTGAGTTTAACTGGCAGTATAGAGGCTTGCTGTTTTCATGTAGGTGTGGGTGATACTGACAAAAATGAGCACCTCCATATTGTTTGGAGTATATAATGATAATTAGAGATACACCAATCTGGTACTGGTGTGGGATAATGGCCAGATACTGAAAAAATTACTGGATCAGATATCAGCTTCCAAATATTAGTTCAACCAATATCCTGGTTGGACATATAAATTGATATAATAAGACAATTTACTGGTTGTATTTGGCCCAGAAAGTCTCAAAATGTAGTGTTTACCCCAAACTGTTCTGTATTTACTTGAGAGATAAATGACAGCTACATAACACATTTGGCACAGTTTTAAAGTTTATTTTTATTTAAAGGGATCAATTTTTCAGTCTCTGCACTGTATCGGTTGATATCACAAGATACTTGTATTGAAATTGGTATTGGTACTGAAAAAAGCTGGATTGGTGAATCTCTAATGATATTCAATGTTATGTCAACCCAACAAAATTAAATTAAAACATGTCTTTGAAAAGTTGAGGTTGAAGTAGCTGACAAATGTGAAATGATTGTAAAAGTACCCTTGAAAGTGCTGAAATATCACTTAATATCTGTTTCAAGTTTGTTTGTTTTTTTAATCAGCTCCTTTCAGCATTTTAAATTATTAACGATATACTCAATATTAAAATTGTGCATACATCTCCAAAACAACATTCACAGCATTATTGATATATGGATAATCTGCACATCTGTATTTTCATACTTTACATCATGACCAGGTACTTCAACACAGACAGTAAGAATTTGAAATCATACTCATAATCTTTCAAAACATACTTGGTTACATAAGACTTCTTTATAGCCTTTTTGTTCAACTGAATTGAACTGAATGCTATCTTTAGGGACGTAATGCTCATGTACTGATACCTTATTATAATATCTGTGGCCACCTTTTTGTGCCTTCAGCCTTTTAAAATTTAGCATAACAGGAAAAGAGGAAAAGAGTGTACTGTAGACTAAAGATCCATCTCCACATACTTTCAGCTTTCTCCTTACAGTAGTGCAGATTTCATTTATTGACGTACATATATGATACATATAGCCTCATACAGCCTCATTCAACTATACCAGCATTCAATTCTCACCAGCAGTAATGTATGTTTGTTGTACCATCTCTGTTCTTGGAGAGCGAAATAGGTGACAGACACTTTTTCTCTGTGCTGCCACATTAGACGCTTCTTACGGCATGAAAAGAATAGCATCATTAAGCAGACATGATTTGAAAAGGACACATGTAGGCCACTGTTTCTGATAACACTTCACATGTGGTATCTAGTCCAAGTGCCATAGAGTTCAAAAACCTAGAAGTTGCCATGACTTCAGTGATTATTGAACCAGAGAGGTTATAGTGCAGGCTGAGGTCAGTGCATGATTACTAGATCTGTTAACCTTCACACTGTAATCCTTCATACAGCTGGACACCAATGTAGATGTGTCCTCGTTTTAATTGTGTCTATCAGCTTAACACTCATCAAATGGAGTTTATCTGTATATGTGACAAATATTACACTACTACAAGTACACTACTGCTACAAGTGTTACACTATGATATATATGTAGTATAAACAAATAGCATTGCAGTGTTGGGGTAGGTGAGATAGGTCTCTAGCTAAGGGGGTAATGAGGAGAGTGAGATGGTTCTGCGGAGGTGATAGGGCAGAAAGGCCTGTCACGATAACATTTTCATAAAATAACACGAAAAAGCAATAATACTGAAATTACTTAATGTCACTTAAAGCAGGATAAAACATGAGCTGCAATAAATAAACAAAACGATAAAACACAAATGGTTAGTTAGTGTCAATAATGGGTCACTGAAGTTATTTAATCGTCCCTTAACAG